AAAACCTAGAATAATAGTACAATTACATTTCTAAAAATAATAATGAAAATACGTTTTGTACACACTGGAAACATGTGGCTTTTGACCCCAAGTGTGACTATATCATTTGCATATGAATATAAGTTTGGCAAAGAGCGTTTGACACTGGGGCTTACGGCTTTGTTTTTATGGAACTGCTTTGTTTTTTAAAACGATATCCAACCAATGAGAAACAACAGGGGATTATCCCAGAAATTGGTGTTGATACCATGCATTTGAAGATTTAACTAGTTAGCCCAGAAACGTTACAGTCTGTGAGAGACTGAAGAAATCAGATCACAAGATAAATAATAGCATCACGAAGGAAACACATAGCGTCGCGGGCAAATCCGATAGCGGTGCGGCCCGGCACGGAATCGATAAGGCGTCCATGACCCAGGCCCCTGGTGTTGGCAGGAGTGTTACGTACGTCGGGAGCTTGACGTTTCGGGGTGCGGCAAACAGGTCTATGATTGGACCGTCCAACAGCCGAAACAACCTGGAGGCTACCCACTGGGGTATCTGCCACTCCGAGTTCTGGAGACGGAGTCGCCTCGAAAGAAGGTCTGCCAGACTGTTCCTCACCCCTGGAAGGTGGTGTGCGGTTAGCTCCACATTGTATTTCTAAGGAGAATTTGCTTTGCTAGGAATGACAACGATGGGGAACGCGTCCCCCCTCCTTGTTGATGTAGGAGACCACTGCTGTGTTGTCTGTGCAGAGTAGGACTCTGTGGTCTTGAACTTCGGGTAGAAAGCGTAGTAGTGCTAAGTGCACTGCTTTCAGCTCGAGCCAGTTGATATGGCGGCCCCGAACCCAATGCGGGAGCCATATTCCTTGGGCTTGTTTGTTCAATAGATGCGCTCCCCACCCTTGGAGGGAGGCGTCTGTTATCAGAGTCATAGCTGTGACGAGTGGGTCCAAGGGGACCCCCCTGACCGAGGTTGGCCAGTGAGGACCACCAGGGCAGGCCCTTCTTCGCTTGTCTAGTTCCGGTAGGTGAGCTCGGTGTTCCAATAACAAGCGTTGGACTGGGCAGTTGCGTTACACGGCCTGGGGAACTACCCTTCGAACCGAGGGCATCATTCCGATAATCCGCATTAGTTTTCGGAGGGACACACTGAGAATGCTGACTAGGCGTTCGGCTAGGTTGCTTAGCGCTAGGCAGCGCACCTGAGATGGACAAACCAGCCTACCTTGGTGTCGAACTCCATGCCCAGAAACACCAACTATTGAATTGGATAGGGATGGGACTTTTTCTGATTTACTAAAAAGCCCAACTGGTGAAGTAAATCTTGCATTAGCCTTACTTGTCTGGTAAAGCAGCAGCACTACCTGTTTCATCACTCTGGTGAACATTACGCTGTGTATAACTCGAAGGGGAGCACCCGAAATTCAAATACTTGGCCCAGCTGGGCAATTTGAATGAGATGGCAACTCGCTGGGTGAATCGGTACATGTATGTGTAGGTCCGGTCGAGGGCATTTGGTCTCATCCTACGAGTTGGGGTCAGAATCCAAAATTGTCCCAACGGGGTAGCGTTTGGTCCAGCAAAAGGGGTTATGCAAAAGATTATCCCACCCAGGGGCCTTAGGCGTTACCTCCTCCGTGGCTGACCAACGACCGCCCCTCAACACCGTATGCGCGCCCTCCGCCACACTCTGCTGGTCCAGGGGAGATGTGCTGGCGAGGTTGATTTGAATCCCAGCGTCTGAGATCCCATAAGCGTTGAAGCAACCGTGAGTGGTTGCTTTAAGATCGAGGGTGGGGGAATATACATTGTGTCACCCGGATTGATAATATTCTGCATCACCCCAACGGCATGGCTCATCGAGTCATTACGGATGGAAGACTGAGGGACTGCCCGAGGTACCCACTGCCTCCTTTCAACTTAAATATGTGAGCAAGAGCGTGTTCGATAGTGTGTTTCATGACAGGGTCGGTTCCTGTGGGTCGGCGAGATGGGAGTCAAACCCACAGCGGAGCCCGGACTTAAGAGTAAATTACTGAGTCCGGTACCGCATGGCGAACCTTGACTGGCTGAAGGTGGGGTGGTGGGGGGACAATGTGTGCCCTGCCCCGAAATCTGAGCCTTGGCTGCTTCTTGTGTTTCTTCCTGTTTGTTGACTTAGGGGCTGCAGTGGAGACAGCTGGCTCCAAATGCATCTGATCTATCTGGCCTGCCAAGGATGCAATCTGCCCCGATAGTCCTTCAACCATTGCCCTCATCTCAGAGGCAAACCCGGCATCATGCGAGGACGGATCCACAAAGGAACCGCAACAGGCCCCACAGGAGGAATGACCACCAGGGGCACAACCTCGCCGTGACGCAACGAAACCAACAAGTGGTTAAGTTACGACGCCAAGTTTTATTTCTTTGTTGTGAAAGATGCTACACACAAAAGGGAAAACGACACAAGGGTAAAAATGACAAGAAAAACTTATTCTGCCTTATTCTAACTTTTAATATAGTTGCAATATGAACTCGATTAAAATGCCTTCCTATATAGGGTTGCGTCATGGTAAATGTAAATACGATATAAATGTCAGTGATTACAGTATTTAAATCAAAGAAAGCTTAGAAAGAACTCCCATGTGCTGAGAGTATTGGAGACACATTAAATATAATTTGAAATTACTTAGCTGAAAACTAATTATGCAAATCAAAAAATTAATATGAACAGATTTGAGTGTAAAACTAATTAGGTCTGCGCAATGTAACAAAAAATCTATGTACCAAGTTTAATTGAAATGTGATTAGAACCAAAAAATTATGAATTATTATGCTAATTAGAGAATTCATATGAACAGATTTTTACCCCAAACTAATTAGGTTTGTACATTGTCCTAGAGCATCTTTGTACTAAGTTTCATTGAAATGGAATAATTAGTACTTTAGATATCAGTGTGAAAGCTTAAAATTGGTTAATTATGCAAATTAGGTAATTAATATGTACAGATTTTAACCCACAATTATCCAGGGGTGTCTATTGTCCTACAGCATCCATGTACAAACATTCATTGATATGTGATGATTA